AGGGCACTGGACTCCCACATGGCCAACAGTGGTTTGAGTCCCAGCCCTGGTGGCTTGCTTTCTCAGTTTCTCTCTCTCTCACTCTGTCCCTCTCTGGTCAAATTAAAATTAATAAACAAAGTTAAATAAAATGATTCTTTAAAAACACACACACACACACACAGACTGGTATGGGGTATGGTGTCTCTGATAGTGTCTGCCCGGCCCCCACTTTTGTCTGTCCTTTCTCAATCCTCAGCCCTTCCTCTTGGGTACCCAATCTCTTCACCCCTGGGCAGGGACAATAAATAAAAGTAATTTTTTAAAAAATAGAAAACAGAAAACACTGGGTAAGTGTGTATGTGTGCCTTAATCCCAGGAGGAGAATGGAGTAGGAAGGGCTGCGTGGCCACCTCCCGTGGGGGTGATTCCTCATTTCCCACTGTCGCTCTCCTGCAACCCACATGCCCTATGGCAAAATAAAAGACAAACAAAAACGTAAGAGGCAGGTGTGACTACTCAGGGGCTAGGAGGTTACAAGCCGCTAGCTTTTCCATTATGAAGGGCGAAGCCTGGAGCTGTTATCTCGGTTAGCGGGCGAATGGCTGCCCAGGCACTCGTCTGAAGTACAGCGGAAGACGCAAGGGGCACACACGTGAAGGCAGGCTCAGGTCGTTCCACGTGTGCACTCACGGATTTACATGCCATGCAATGCGTAGACTGTAAGTGTGCAGTAAGTTCTGGCAAGTGTTTACTCACACTCAAATCAAGGAAGACAATGTTTCCACTACCACAGAAAGTTCCCGGATAGCCCCTCGCAGTCAAGTCCACCCCAGTCTCCACTGCCCTGACTCTCTCACCGAAGACTAGCTTCCCCTGCCTCGAACCTCGGATGAAACAGAATCATGCCGTAGATACCCTTTCATTCAGCTTAGTGTCCACCAGACTCGTCCATGCTGTGACAGTAGTTTGGTTCTTCTTTTTAAGTTGATGTATTCCTTCCACGAAAGAGAAAGACAGAGAGAGGCACCCCAAAGGGGTCTTCACACCACCATCCGCCCAGCCTGAGCCGGCCAGGACCAAGTCCACACATACAGGGAGACCTGGGAAACAAGCTGCCCCCCCACCCCCCGGATGTCTCGGCATTAGAAACTTATCTCTGTGCCACTGCAGCTAGTCGGTGTCGGTTTTGTTGTTTTTTAAGTAGCATTAAAATCCAGCCCTATTACAGTTAAATTGCCCCTCAAAATTCTTTCTGTTGGATATATCTCCTTTCCATGTGTCTATCTCCTGTGTCCCTCTTTGGCAATGCCTGCAGGGAGGAAAAGATGTGTAGGTGGGCTATTTTCCTCGAGGGAGGGATGGCTCTCCCTACTTTCAGGAGCAGATAGGAGCAGTCTAGCATGGTGGTTGTAAGGCTTCATATTAATCTGGGTTCTCATTTTCGGTGTACCAGAAAGGTGATTTAACCTCTTTGTGACCGTTTTCCCAGTTACAAAATGAGGATAAGCATACCTCCCTGATAGAGCTCTCTGAGAACTCAATGACATTGTACATAAAATGTCTGGCACAATGGAAACCAGTCACAGCCTCGAGCTAGACTATAATAAACATCCTCCTCTTCATCTATGTACTTTCAGTTTTTATCAGTCATATAAATGGGTTCATGGCTGGGCTTGGGGTCT